CCTGGTGGTCCAGTGGTTAAGAACCCACCTTCCAATGCAGGGGACGTGGGTACATCCCTGGTTGGGGAACTAAGATCCCACATGCTGTTGGGGCAACTAAGCCCGCCCGCGCCACAACTACTGAGCCCACGCCACAACTAGAGAGCCCACGTGCCGCAACTACTGAGCCCATGCGCCCTGGAGCCCGTGCGCCACAACTAGAGAGAAGCCTGCGTGCCACAATGAAGGTCCCGCTTGCTGCAACTAAGACCCGATGCAGCCAAATAAATAAATAAATATTAGAAAAACAACAAAAACGACAGAATAAAACAATGGTAGAAAAGTTTAGACTAGTAGAGTTTTTTTATTACAGACTCAAAATACTTTAACATAACAATAATGCAGTGGGAGCTCAAAAAGCAAGGGCCCCAGGGGGGCTGTGAATAGCCTCATTCAGGGTTCTAGAGGTCAGTTCCTTTGGACTCTAACACACAAGAAAAAAGATGTCTGCAACGGTGTACAGTGTAGGGAGGCCATAGGCTGGCTAGGGAAAGACTAGAGGGTGAAAGAGATCTGTTTCTTCCCTCTTTTCAGTTGCCTGCTGGTGAGTACCATAAGGTGTATACAATGTCGCCCAGTCCTTCCTGCTACATGTACATCTATGTCAACACTACAGAGCTTGCACTGGAGCAAGACCTGGCATACCTGCAAGAATTGAAGGAGAAGGTGGAGAATGGAAGTGGTGAGTATATGAAGATTTGGGCTGAGATAGCCCGCTTTACAAGAAGTCAGTGTTGTGAGTGAGGATCTAGCCATTAAAGAATGAACTTGAAGCGTCTAGCTGGGGAAAGGGGAGTTCTAGGAGAGAGAATGCTCTCTCTCTCTCAGTGATTCCTCTTTTTGCCCTCTTTCGGGCAGAAACAGAGCCTCTGCCTCCAGAGCTGCAACCTCTGCTGGAAGGGGAAGTCAAAGGGGGCCCTGAGCCAACACCGCTGGTTCAGACCTTTCTTAGACGCCAGCAAAGGCTCCAGGAGATCGAACGCCGGCGAAATGCCCCTTTCCACGAGCGACTCCTCCGCTTCTTGCTGCGAAAGCTCTATGTCTTTCGCCGCAGGTAAGTTTTACCCACAGCAGTACGTGTCTTTGCCATTAGATGTTTGCAGGCTGAGTAACTTTTCTCTGGTGAGGGTAACAGTAGGGACTGTTTCCCAGGAAAGGACAATCCAGTGCTAAATTCCTCCCTTTTGTCCTCTCCATTCTCCTCTCCCTGATTGAATGGGAGAGTAAGTGGTGTCTGATGGCCACCTCTTGTTCTGCCTCAGGTTTTCTCCAGCCTCCCTGTGGGTTATTCCTGCCCCACCCTGGAGTCCTCTACCAGACTGTATAAGGAGTGGGGTGCCTTTCCAACTGGGATGTTGGGGTGCTTGAGGGGAGAGTCTCATTTATGCCTGGGTGAGGGGGTAGGACCAGGTGTCCCCTAAGGGCTTTGGCCAGAATGCCTATGTTGAAACAGGAGTTTGGATTGCTGGCTTTTTCCCTCTTTTTCAGCTTTCTGATGACTTGTATCTCACTTCGAAATCTGGTATTAGGCCGCCCTTCCCTGGAGCAGCTGGCCCAAGAGGTGACTTATGCGAACTTGCGACCCTTTGAGCCAGTTGGGGAGCCGAGTCCTTCAAACACAGATTCTTCAAATCCTAATCCTTCTGAGCCAAATGCTGACACTGTCCACTCAGAGTTCTGAGGGAGGCCAGATGTTGGGTACAGATATAGGAGCAGCGTTACAAGACCATTACCTATGCAGTGGACATCTGAAAAATTCAGATTTTTTTTACATTTTTCTTCCTTATCCATAGCTCTGATAAATTCAGAGATGATAGATTAGAGGAACCAAGGAAGTAAAGCAAGGATAAGATTTATCAATCCAAGGCTGAGGGGTCTGGGGAGTTAAAAAACAACGTGAAAATGTCTTTCTAGGATGAAAGGGTAAGGATCAGGTTTAAAGTGACTGGCTCCTTGGTGAAAGAGATTTAATGTTCCATGATGAAAATAATAGCTGGCTGTTCTCAAGTGCTTGCCATATGCTAGGCACTGTGTGAAGCACTGTTCCAGCATTATTACATTTAGTCCTTAACGGCCATAAGCCCTATTTTATGGTTGGGGAAACTGAGGCTGAGAGGTAATATAATTTGCTCATAAGACATATACCTAATAAGGAGTGGACTGATGGTTTGAACCTCAAGTCTGTTTGACTTAAAGGTCCTGCACCCTGCTGCTTGTAGTTTTCAGAATCCTTGACAATAATGTAGCTTAAAACTTGTCCAATTATAAAGTATGATTAGGATGGTGATCAGGTTTTAAATGCAGAGAATAATTTTCTCTTCACTGCGATTTTGGTTCCTTCTTTGTTCCTATTATACAGCCAGTTTTTCAGTAGCAGTCACGAGCATAGTTAGAATAGCAAGAGTTAAACAAATAACGAAATTTAGGTGATTAGTAGTGGTATTTATCTACAAATAAGCTTAGTATTTAGCATTATTCTAGCCTTTAATGAGCAGGAGGTGATGTAAAGTAAGATTTAACCGAACAGTGGTGAGGGATTAGGGAATGTTGACAGTCGCTTTGTAGACTTTGGATGTAGAAAGTTTGGATGTGATTTAGGAGGATCCTCAATTCTGTGAAAATTCAAAGGCCTGGCCCTGGGCTAGGAAGTTAGAATGCGTAGAGTAATTAAAAAGAAAAAGACAAACAAACTAAAAAACAGGCCCTGCTTGGGAGCTCATGGTCTTCCGGGCAGAGACGTCAGTAGACTGGCAGTCCCAGTAACTTTGATAAAGGATCCCATCTGTTTTCAGGCTTCTCTTCGCGTGCTCCACTCCACCCAGTCTCAGGGTTCTTTCCTAGGCAGCTGCCTTTTCACTGTTCACACTTGGGATGATTATGTCTACTCCATGGTTTCCAGTGATGCTGCTGCTTAGGTTTCTTTCCTGTGCCCTAGACCTGTATATCTAGCTAGCTCCAGCTGGATATCCTACAGAGCTTTCAAACTCTGTCATAAACAGAACTTGCATTCATCCCCAACTCAGACTTGCGTCTCCTTTATTAGTGAATGGCAACTGTTTTTTTTTTTTAACCAAGCCATTTGTGAGTCATCAGCCTTGACTCTTCTTTTCCTCACATTTCTTGAGATTTCAAGTCCCATTAATTCTGCCTCCTACTTCTTGGACCTATTGAATTCATCTCTACCACCTCTGTTCTTTCAGCCTTTATACTGGAATCCAGTTACGGATAGACCAGAGCAGGGCTGCCATGTAGTTGTGCAGGTTGGGGCTGAATAAGGGCACCCAGCTGAGGCCAAGTGGGGCCTGGCAGTAAGTCCCTCTGATTCATACAAGGCATTTTGTGGGTCAGTGATGGCTGTGCCACAGGGCATCTTGCACCGATGTGGGGGAAACACTGGTTTTCAGTCCTTTTGCAGATCTCAGCGACACGATACACCTTGGCACCATGTCCTTTCCCGCAACTGCTGCCCACACCCTCCTTTTTACTTGGTTAAAAAAAAAACTCTTCACTTCAGAAGGAAAGTCCTGCAAAAAGTATCTTTCTTAATACAGGCAAGGATGCTGCTTTCCTGCAACCTGTCTCGTTTTCCAAATGAAAATGTTGGGGTGGGATGAAGAAAGGTGCTAGTCTAATACTGGTTAAGAAAAGCTGTTCACTGGTGAAAATCTGGGTTATTCAGATTTCAGTATTCAGGCCCTGGTAATTAATGTCCTTTTCGCCAGAAGGCTTTGCATCCTACCCCGAGCATTTAGATCTTCTATCCCTGACCAGTGTCATCCCCCTTGAAACTCTGTAGAAAAGTATGATTTTCAACTTAAACATGAAATACGACATTTTCTTCTATTAACACTTTATGCTTTTGATTCTCAGCTGTAATCACTTCCCCCCTTGCTGTTTCATGCCTTTGCTTCTATTCTCCTCCCTCAGCTGGTTAATCCCCACCTCCACCCCGCGGCTAGGTAGAGGACAAGCCACCTTGAAGGTCACTCTCTTTAGTCTGCAAACTCCTTGAAAGCAGGGGTCATCCTAGTAAATAAACATTGAACCGAACCTCAAAGCAGTTCTCTCTCTGGTATCACTTCACCAGCCTACAGGCATGTACTCATCCTCATCCCATTTGGTCAAGATGGTTAACTTATCTTCAGATAGCAATGCAGTGATCTAAAGGCTTCTTGAAACTTTTTCTGGAGTTTTTCAATGTCATGCAAAGTTGAACTTCTCAAGTTTCAGAGCAGGTCAGAAGATTTAACCTTGCCTTCCCTCCCAAATGTTTCTAAACTTCTAAGCCTCCAGGCAACCAGGTATAAGCATTCCTTGGGCCTCACGTCTGCAACAGCAGAGCACAGTGAAGTGTTTGAACCACTTGATCTCATACGTGCTGGTATGAACATGTGCCAAGTGGCTGCTAGGCTTAAGGAAGGATGGTCCAAGCTCTGGCTGATGAACCTTCTACAATTTTAGAATAAGCTTTTCTCTCACCACTGTTTAAAAACCCTTTTCAAACTGTAGTATGTACTGAACATGTAACTTGCAGCCTTTAACACCTGTTTATATAGACGGGAAACTTAAGGCATTAAATAAACTTTCTACATTTTCAAAAAGATGAAAATTGGCTTAAATTTTCTGAAGTGAACATTATCACTCCTTCCACATTACTCACGTTAATGGTTTTTATGCCCCTAACCTTAGATAATTTAAAACACTGCTGATGGTATAGAACTGGCTGCTGTAATAAGGAGCTGTGAATTTTGCCCAGTGTATTGGCCAAAAAAGGCAGTGCTAGACAAACTGAGACCAAACCTTTAACTTCCTTAGTGCAAGGGATATGATTTACAAACTGCTTGCAGTCAGGATTGAAGTGATTTCCCTAAACCATGGGTGGGATTACGATTACTCAGGGTTAAAAAGTATGTTCAATTCATATTCATACCAAAACACTTTAAAAGAATAATGGACACAGGTTAAGGTAGAACCTAGCATTTTATTTAGATCTTCATTAAACTGTTGGAATTGAGAACCAGACATACGTAATAAACCTCCAAAAATAGATGCTGAAAGGCACTTTCTGCTTAGGGCAAGCAGTCATGGAATAAGCATGTAAACAAGCTGGCTTCTCTGTACCACACCAGCCAAGTCAGCTTTCTCCATGGCCAGCTGCACCAGCTCTGCCCTCCCTTCTGTTAACACCAGCCAGAACCCCTGTAGGTCTAACCCAAGGTTTTTCTGTAGGACACCTTGGCCTACCTGGGAATGCTGGAAACATGTTAAAGGAATCATGGTGTTGAGGAAAAAAAAAAAAAAAAAAAAAAAAATTTAAAAGCTGCCATCTGAGGTGATGGCTTCTCTGTACTTACGCCATACCCCAGAATACAATAAATAAGCAATTAGAAAATGTTCAAGTATGAAGGGATTTCCTCCTCCCCGCCAAAAGCACTGCTCTCTGAAGGAAGCTGGTTTCTCTGTAGCTACACCAGCTGTTCAGAAAGCTCATTGGACCTGGTTTTGAAAACAAAACAAAGTTAAAACCCTGGGAGGACTTATTGTGCAGTGTGGAGTGCTCAGTCTTTCTTATAAAGAAAAAAAAAGTTATCTGGTACCAAAGTGTGCAACCTACAGACCCTCAGGTACAGCCCTGTGACTTCTTTGTATGACATCACAAGGGTGCCAAGTGCCTGTTTTTCTAGAGCTAGGAGTTGGTGGTTTGGCTAGTGCTGAAACCATGCATAGGATTGATTTACTAAATAAAAACCTTATTACGTACGTCCTCCAAAAGACAGCTGAAAAGTGGAGAGATTTTGATTTGGTGCTGTTTAAGAGATGGCAATTAAGAGCATAAGCACCAGGGAGATGGTTTAATGGTAACTGCCTTTTTTTTTTTCCTTTCTCATGTCAGGCTAGAGCTCCAACTGGAACTTGCGTTACATGCAAGAATGATTGGATAGAGAACACTCCCTGACAAAGAGCTACATAATTAGAAATGGATCAAGTTAAAGGGAGGATAAGGGAAGGCTTCACATTCATAATAGAGCTCAAGACATTACAAATTCATGCTGACAGGGCTGTGGCATTGCCAGACAGAGGCTATAATGGAACTACAAGTACTTTACGTGCACGTTACAAGGACATTTTCAGCATTTGGTGGGAAAGTCAATGCAATTAGGATTTTAGAAGGTTGGGTGATAGGGCACAAAGGTTCAATTTCAAAGCATTGTTTACTACAGTGCTGTTGGTTTGTTTCTAGGCAGTTACATGGATCACCTATGCTCACTAAATTCATTATAATGGTGAACAAAACACCTAGGGACAGAATAGCAAGCCCAACTTACAGTCCCCCACACAAGCTAAAATTCATGTCATTGACTAGAGTGACTGCAACTGATCAGGAGCTGAAAGAGGACAGGAAAATTTAGGAAGAAGGGCCCTTTCCCTCAGAGCTTGAAGGCTTCTCTGTAGCCTACGCCAACAAGTCTGGGGAAAAAAGGCTAACACTTTCAATATTTAAGCTTTTTGGGCACTTCCCATGGGAAGCTGTCCCTACCAAAGTGGCCATAGGCTGCAGTCCTCTGATAAATTGGCTTCTTCAGATCCAGATCCCTGGAATATACAAGTCCGTAACTTAATATGTAGCATTCAATTAAATTAAAGCAAAACAATCAGCAAGACTCATTTTCAAGACTTCTGGCAAATGAGTTCAGTTCTCTGGGGTATGCTAGGAAAGAAGTTTGTGGCAAAAGTGTTTGTTACTTCCCTGGTGTCCAAACTCCTTGCACAGTCCTTATTAGTAACTATAGTTCTTGTTTTTCCGTCCCTGGCTCAACAAATATGAAAACTTGTCATTATTCTGAGACATTGCAAGTGTCAAAAGCTCATCTAAAATCATGGAATACTTACCGAGGTCCCATGCCCACACCCTACCATGGTTATTTTCTTTGTAACAGCCATGCCCATTCATCTGTACTAAAATTTCTTTTAAGTAAACATTCCTTAGGTAACAGGAGCACAAAGCCTATATCAAATGTGGAGGACTTTCTAGGGTGGTTAGTCTAAGCCATGCAGCACTATAATTTTAGAGTTTTCCTAATAATTTAAGCCTTTACTGACGGCAATTTAAAAATGACATCAACACATTCTAGGAATTACCATGTTTCCCCACTCCAGTCTTCCTTCACACCTTCACTTTCTCAGATTTGAATATATCAAGTATATATACATACACACCCACACCCTCAATGTTTTTCACTAGCAATAGTCTTTACCATCTTTACCTGACAATGACCCCAGGGCGGAGGTCAAAATTCTTCTTCACAATCTCTAATAGCTCTCTCTCACTCTTCTGAGAGGTGCCATAATGGAAAATGGAGATAGACAATGGATGAGATACTCCAATAGCATAAGAGACCTAAAAGAATTTAAATGTCGTAAGAGTCAGTGATCGAAAGACCCACATACTTGTGTAATACACTGGTATCAAAAAAAGACAAGTAGATAACTGCTAAATGCCCTCCCGCTTACATGCCTTTTAGTCAACCCAGTTATATAGAAGTATATACCTGAACAAGAACCCTTCTGCACAGACCTCCTTTAACAAGGGATTTTGCCACCCAACGAGCAGCATAAGCAGCTGAACGGTCCACCTTGGTATAATCCTTTCCTGAAAAGGCACCTCCTCCATGAGCTCCCCAACCACCGTAAGTGTCCACAATGATTTTCCGGCCAGTCAAACCAGCATCACCCTGAAATTATAGGATTTAAGTTACTTTATGCCTAATCCTTTCCAGTGGTTCTAGATCAGGCTTGTTAAATGGTTATTCAATATCACTTGGCAAATATCCTCAGAAGAGGCACAGGTAGGCTTCAAAAACCCTAGGAAAAAGGTGGAAGTAGCCAAATTTTAGCAAGTAACAGAAGACCCAAAAAAGCAACTGAATTGACATTGTAAGACCTTACCTGAGGCCCACCAATAACAAATCTGCCACTTGGCTGTAGATGATAGATTGTATCCTCATCAAGATACTTTGCAGGTACAACGGCTTTGATGACTTTCTCCTTTAGGGCATCCCTCATCTCATCTAGACAAACTTCTTCATCATGCTGAACAGATATAACAATTGTGTGGACTCTGATGGGAAGCACAGCACCTCGGTCCTGCATATACTGCACAGTCACCTTGAAAGTGAAACAGATCATCAGAACATCAATCTATTAAACAATAGCTTTGTTCCTGATTCTCTACCCTACATTACAATACAGAGAACAAACCATATTCTTCTCTTAGCTTTAATCAAAACACCTTACTGAAGTCCTGTGCCAATGTAATGTGTGTAGTTTTGACACTCGTCACTTACTTGAGTTTTAGAATCTGGGCGTAACCAAGGCAAAGTGCCATTCCGGCGTAGTTCAGCCAGTTTGGCATTGAGCTTGTGTGCTAAGACAATGGTTAATGGCATACATTCCTCTGTTTCATCAGTGGCATAACCAAACATCAAACCCTAAAAAAGGAAAAGTTACCAATGCAATCAATCCAAGCTTTAGAATTTAATGTTAGAAGAGATGCAAACAGATGTCTACCAAGATACCTGGTCTCCTGCACCAATGTCTTCCTCATTCCGATCAAGATGAACACCTTGAGCAATATCTGGTGACTGTTGCTCCAAGGCCACTAGCACGTTACAAGTCTTGTAGTCAAACCCTATAAACAAAACGATGTTTTTTTGGTTTGTTTTTAAAGGGCCATAGCAATACTTTGTATTTACGACAAAGTAAATTTGTCATTTTAAAATTATCTGGAATTCTAAATGCTGCTAGAGAAATCAAATATACCTAAAACTTAGTACTTTTAAAGAATAGGGCTGGAACAAAAACACTAAAAATATACAAGTAGAATTAAATATTCCCAGGAACACTCTAGAAGATATAGCTAGAGAGGACTGAAAAAAAATACCTGGAAAAATGAGGTTAGAAAGCCCACTCATTAAAACACACCTTTGGAAGAATCATCATATCCAATGTGTTTAATGGTTTCACGAACCACTTTCTGGTAGTCAACAGCAGCTCTGGATGTAATTTCCCCAGCAAGAAGGATCATTCCAGTTTTAGCAACAGTTTCTAGTAAAAGAGAGGTTCACAGTCAAACATCACTTTTATGAAGTAATTTTCATGCTACCTTTTCATCAGGTGATAAAGCAGTGTTCTGAACCTACCACAAGCCACTTTGGCATCGGGGTCCTGCTGAAGGTGGGCATCAAGAACAGCATCACTAATCTGGTCACAAATCTTATCTGGGGAAGAAAAAAATTCCTGGCTTAATTTCTTTAATTCACTGATAATGTCATGTATGTCATGCCCCCTTCCCCTATAACTACAGCTGGGAAGATCTCTGTGTTTTCTTTTAAAAAAACTGTGGCAGGAATTCCCTGGCAGTCCAGTGGTTAGGACTTCGTGCTTCCACTGCAGGGGGCATGGGTTCAATCCTTGGTCAGGGAACTAAGATCCTGAAGGCCGCTTGGCAGGGCACCCTCCCCCCACCAAAACTGTGGCAAAACCTATACAGCATAAAATTTACCAATTTAACCATTTTCAAGTGTACATTTTCAGCGACATTCCAAGTATGGAGATCTTAACTGCTATACTGCTTTCGCAGAAACCATTTCCCTGAAGAATAAATGCTGGATATAGTGCTACATGTTTCCTAACTTGACACCTTGTTCTTCATATAGCTGTACCACAGATCACCAATTCAGATAAGCCAGCAGAATACCCAGCATGTTTAATACATTTAAGCTCATTGCAGTATATGCACTTTACACTTTTACAAGGACTTCAGTCCCATCTTTAAAGTATATCAGACATTTTGAAAAATTAAGTTCCTAGGCAAAAACAATTTCTATTGTTAAACAGGATAGCCACATAATGGAGACTGATTAAATGGAAGTAAGTAGAAAGTGTTTTATCTTCCATTCAAAAGCAAAGCAAGGAACATTTACCTTCACAGCATTAATTTTCAAAGACAATGGTACTTACATCTTATCCCCCGAATTTAAATTTTTCATTATAAATCTAACCAACCAGAAAGGTGAACCGTTTATCAATCTCTCCCTGATTCTAAGGAACGCCAATTAGGGCAGTGAGAAATAAAGTCAGAGTTAAATGAGGAAAGCAACGACACTTCATGAACAAAGGGAATAAAACGGCATTTGATTTTGTGTTAAGAGTAATCCAGGAACAAGAGCCGAATAGACTGGAAAATCCCCAAATGTATTCTGAATCCTTGCTGATCTTCCCCTCACTGTACTGCCCTCTATTAAAAATCAGGAGAACAGAAAAAAACCTCGAATATCACTTTCCTAAATTTTCTATAACCATCTAAAAAAAACTTAAGCAAAATGTGTACCGCAGTCCAGTCAGAGGCCCAGGACAATCTAAACATTTACAAATGCCTGCAGCTTTAAGTTAATAAAAGGCGGTTCAAATACACAGTGCAGTTCTCAGCGCTGGGGGAAAACAAACAAAACCACCCACACCACACCTGACCTTCACTCATCAGGATCTCGGGGTTTGTCCTCTCCTCTACCACTAGGTTGCTCGTGGGATTTCATCATAGGCACAGTAAGCTTGCTAGAGGGAAATGGATCCTTAAACCAACAGACGAGGCATCTGTCATTGTGGTCATCCCAAGAAAGGGCTGGACCCGTCTATTAGAATAACGATCTTCACTAGGTGAGGTTTTCAGGCTGGGATCGAAAGTTCCTTGAAATAGCTTCATTCGTTCACGTGTAAATTGATCGCCATAATGGCGGACCGGTGGACAAAGCCCGGAGGATGATATATGGAGTAAAAACCTTGCCTAACAGTCAGCCCCAACGCAATGGCGCCATACACTTAATTCATGCTTCCTATCCTTTTCACGCACGATCCAAATAAGGAATGCCTCCTCCGACAAGCACTATATTTAGTTGGAGGCTGTCACCTTGACGCGAGGCCATATACCGGCTAAGGACATGTCGTATTCTTCAGTGTAGCCAAAGAATTAACGGGAAGAGCGGAGGCCCGGTGGTCCGGGCCACGCTCTGCAAACCAGCCGGCTCCCTCGCCCAGAAGCCACATGCGGCAAACACGTGGTTGAGGCTGCAATGCGGGGCGCGCGCTCTCGCGAGCCGGACGCGAGCACGCGAGGCGGGCCGCCCACTCGAGGTGGCTCGGACCGCAGGGCGGGGAGAAGGAACTAGTGCCCTCCCCGGCTAGAACACGAGCGGCCACGGCCCCCGCCCTTCTCGTTTTCTGGAATCTTCCGCATGCCGGGGCGCGCGGCCGGATGGGAGGGGAGGAGAGAGGAAGGGGGGGCGGCGGCCACGCGCTCGGCAGCGGCAGCGCCACGAGGAAGGCGCGCGGCCGCCGCTCTTTCCACCAGCAGCCGGGAGAGGGCCACCGGCTTGGGCACCGCGGCCGGCGGATTCTGCCGGCCAGTCCCGACCCCGCGCCCCGCCCCTCGCTTCGCTCCAGGCCCCGTCACCTCACCTGGGTGGCCTTCCCCCACAGACTCGGAGGTGAAGAGGAACGTGCCCTCCTCGATGAACGCGTCGTGGAAGCCGTTGAGCTGCCCGTTCATGGTGGTGGCGGTGAGTGAAAGTGGCGTTGAGGAGAAAAAGCGGCGAGCCGACAAGTGCGAAACGCGCTAGCAAAAGACCGCGTTCTTGTCAGCTCGAGCGGGCGGCGCGGAGCAAACGAGGCGGCGGGCAGCGCGGCCTACTATTTATACACGGCGCCCGCGCGCGCCCGGCTCGGGCCCCGCCCCTCGGCGCCGCGCGCCAATGCGCCACTCGCGCGGGGACGGGGGAGGGGAAGGGGCGGTGCACCGAGGGGAGTTCGACCGAACCATTCTGCCAGGCAGGGGGAAGGGAGCGGAGGTAACGCGCCCCTCTCGCGAATATTCGCCATCTTAAGCACTCATAAGGAGTGAGGGGAAAGGCAATATACTGGGTCGTTGTATGCTTCCGTGTTCGACGTGGGAGGAAGAGAGACAAGGGCTTTATGGGCCTGCTCCCCTGTGCTGTGACAATGGCACCTCCCTTCCGACCGTTGGCCGGGCTACCTGGCCGCTAGGTCGCGTCCCCCAGCGGGGGCAGCGGGAATCGTCGGGGGTTTTGTCCTCTTGCTCTCCCCGAGGGTCTTTCCGGCTGCCCTGCCTGGGGATGCCCGGGTGACAGGGAGCCAGTGGCCCACAGCCACGTGAAAGTGGCCATCTTGGCTGGTCAGCGTACGATCCTTCGCACGGCCTTGTGCATCCTCGCCCTGAGCGCAGCCGGCGGCTGGCAGCCCTGCGGGGGGCCGTCTAGTTGCTGGCAATTTCTTGGTTAATGGTTCTGTGGTGAAAATGGCCGAAAAGCGGAATAAAGAGAGTTCTGTCATCGATTTCAACGATTGCCGTCCCCCTTCCGCCCCCAGCGCTACAGTTTCTGAGAGAGGCCCTCACTCTTTGTGGACCCTACGGTGGAGGCCGCGCTCGGCCCCTCGGCTCCAGCCTTTTCCCCAAGAAAGGAGGCAGCTCACAGGCTCACCTTGCATTTGCTGACTTTACTATCTTGGAGGAGGAAAAAAGTCGATGTTTAGAGTATGATTTCAGTCTTCTGTTCAAGAGACTGTTGAATATTGGGGTGGGGGGAGCCCCGTTTACGCCCTTGTATGTGATTCAGCAGATCTCTTGACAAGGTGATGGTCTGTTTCCTGAAGCTTTCACTTTAAAATGTCCACCTGCGTTTGTGCCAGGTTTGCCCATTTAAAGGAATTATAGGGAGAGAAGGGAAAAGAACAAAACCAAACTTGAGCCAACGAGGAGCCGGGAGTCGGGGACCGATTTCATGGCTCTCCGTTTGGAAGGAGCCCACAAGTGGCGGGTGGGCCGGTGTCACTTCCGTCCCGCACAGGGGCTTCGGACTTGGTGCAGGGCCGGGGCCGGGGGGCTGCTGCTGTCGCGGTGGCCCCGAGCGCATGAACTTCGGGTTTAATGATGTTATTAGGAGACCGCCTGCTCCTAGGATAGGATACACGTTACCCTGGGGAGATGAATAAGACCCCTCGCAGCAGCCTCCAGCTGCTTACCGCTCAGAGAATTAGGTGAATTCGGAAGAACAATCCTCTCCGCGGCTTGCGGGAGGAAAGGTGGGTTTGCTGATTGGGAAACAATGGAAGCACTTGGGCTGTGCTTGGGGCTTTCACAAAGAACGTTATAAAAGGGCCCATCTCTAGACTTTATGATCACATCCATGGTCCTTCAAAGCAGGGAACAAGAAAAGGCTAAATCACAAAAGAGACAATATAGATGTTTATATTTGTTTCTGTTTTTCAAACTAACTTATGGAAAAATAACTGTGTAAGACGTTAATCATTTCTTGTTTGTTTTAGAGTAGTTCACTTTTTTTTTTAAGCAGAGTGCCAATTTGTTAACTTACAATGTGGAATAAAATTCCCAACTGAAACAAATTGCATGTGTAGGCTGCTCAGTGCATTATCTTCCAGCAGAAAAATCTATAGGGGAAGCTAGAATGTAAAGTTATTTGATTAATATGGAGTCAGAGCAAGGAGATTAAATTCAATGATTAGGTCATTAAACCCTGATACCCCTATGCTAACAACTCCACATGGGGTTGTTCCTGCCAAGGAGATTAGAATCAGCTGTTCATACTTGCTTACCTACTCATTCTTGTTCTTAGCATACGTAATTTAATGGTTAAGGGTAGGGGTTTTGGAGTCAAGCCTCTGCCACTTATTAACAGTGTTGAGCAAACAACTAACCCTCTCTACTCCTCAGGGTCCTCAGTCTGTAAAATTGGGGTAATAATCATACTCTCATAGGATTGCATCAAGAATTAAACAAAATCATGCAAGCAAAGTCTTTCGCACAGTATCTAGCACATAATAGTTAGCTGTAAAAAATAACCCTTCGGTGGCTTCCAATTGCTGTTAGAATAAAGACCAAAATCCCTACATACCCTTAAAGGCCTCAGTGTGATTTGGCTGCTACTTCTTTAACCTCATCTTGTGCCACTCTCTCCTTTTTGTCTTCTACTTTGCATTCTTTTAACTATTAACAGTTAAATTTCTTAATTGATTATGCTCAAAACAAAGCACGTTTTCATTGATTTATATGTTTCGCATTGTCCCTTCCTCCCACAAATATTTACAAGCGTTTCTGTCAAGCAGACCCAGTATTGGTGCCATGACAGACTTGGTCTCTGCCCAACCATAGCTCTAAATGAGGGGAGATGCCTGGCTAATTCCTCCCCATCCTTCCCACCCAGCTCAGCTGCCACTTCCTGGATGTAGCCTTCAGCTGCCTCTTTCTGGATGAAATCTTCACCTACACAGATTTCTCACAGGGTCCTGTGTTTTTCTACATGGCACTCAGTGCTCTTTGAAATACAGATTTGGTGATTATTTGATGAATGTCTCAACTCCCAATTAGATTTGTAAGCTCCATGACAATAAGAAGGTGGTCCGTTTTGCTCAGGCTTTGTTGCTGAGAGCCTGACACACAGAAGGTGCTTAAGAATGTTTGTTGGAGGAGAGGGAGAGAGAAGAGAGGGAGAAAGGGAAAGAGACACAAGGAAAGGATGAGTAAATATAAGGGATGGCACAAAGAAGTGGAGAAATGAGAAACCCTGGGGATCATGTAAAATCAATGAAAAGAGCCACCGCGTTGTTTTAGTCACCAGCGTTATAATTTATAACCCTGAGAGCTCTTTCCTAACAGGGAAGCTCATCGTCATCCTGTTCTGAGAGGAATGAGGTATCCGATTCCATACATTAGTGCCCTAAGGCTGAAATAAACTAGGAGGGGTTATTGGTTTATTTCATATTTAACATGAATGAGATTTGTTGAATGTGAAATGTTGCAAAACACATAGAAAAAATCGAATCGCCTAAAGCCTCCGGATCTCAAACCAAAGAACGTTAATGTGGCAGTAGTTCCATGAAAGAGGCAAGGTTGGTATTGGATGAACTGGTGTGTGGGACTCAGCAAATATGATGACTCCAGGTCTTATCCATCTGCCAGTTAAGGAGAGAGTACCAGTAAGTAAGAGAAAGCATGTGCAGTGCAAGAAGCTGTTGATTTGACAGGAAAACAGAGGGAGATGACACTAGGTATATCAAAAAGCAATAGTAAAGTGTGGAGCTGTTGAGAAGAGAGCTCCTAAGCTTTCCAGACTGCCTTCTATGTGATGACAGGACAAGAAGAAAGAAATCTAGGCCAGACGTCTCCAAAATTGTGCCAGTTCTTTAGGGCCAAAGCTCAGACATGGCCTCAGAAGCAAACTAGCTCTAGTGGGTTCTGAAACAAGTACTATGTGAATCCCCTCAGTGTTAGGCTTCTTGTAATCTGTTTTTGTTTCTCTGTTTTTCTCTCCTGATAATCAGATCTTTTAACAATCCCAGTAGGTAGACAGGGATGGAAGAATGCATAGGGTACAATGAAGAAGACACTGAAGGAGACAATAATATAATGATGATGACATCTATAATTTATCGTGACAGGCACTTTTCTAATATCTGTGCCTCACAACAATTCCAGTGAGGCATATATTATTTCTCTTCCTATTTTATACATGAAGGAACTAACATGTAATTCTCCCAGGTCACACACCAAATCAGTAGTGGACTTGAAATTGGATCTGAGCTCTAAATTCATGTTCCTTGCTACAAGTCATAGGATAGATACTTCACACTCCCTGAGGTAATTAACCATAAAATTTGGTTTGTATCCTCCCATACCTTTTTCTATAAACATGCACGCGCACGCACACACACACACATTTACCTGAAACATGGATTTTTCTCTTAACAATTTTCATGGCCATTTCTCCAGGACACTATATAGAGATAGAAATCATTCTATTTTTTTTTTTCTCTTTTAAAAAAATTCTGATAAAATGAACATAACATTTACCATTTTAAAGTTCTGTGACATTAAGAACATTCACATTGTTCTGCAAAATCATTCTTTTTAATAACAGTAAAACATACTATATTGTGACTCCATACAGTTCATTCAACTGTTGCCTTAATGGTTGGTATTCAAGTTGTTTCTCATTTTTGCCATACACACAATGCTGATGAAGGTAACATCTTTATACATATACTTTTGTGAAGCAGTGTTTTTATTTTTGTGGATGAGATGTCTCAAAGTGGGATCGCTGAGAGAAAGGATATGTACATTTTTACGTTAGTAGTTACAGTCAGATTACTTTCCAAATGGCTGTCAAAACTTCCCGTGAGAAGTATGAGAAGGGTAGGAGAATATCTAGAAACCACAAAGGAAAAAAAAGACTGATAGACTTAACTACATAAAAATGAAAAATTACTGTGCAAGTAAAAGACAAACAATAGTAGAAAATATTTGCAATACATATGACAGACAAAGGCTTAGTACCAATTGATGGGAAAATGACAAACAGCCCATGAAAACTAGGAAAAAGAGTATAAGTGAGTAATTGACCCAGGAGGAAATGCAAACGTACGAAATGATACTTAACCTCATTGATAGGGAAATGAATTAATTCATTTGTACAGTGAGTTTGGGAAAAACAAGACGTGTGGAGGAGGGGAGGGTAGAAGCAGGAATCTAAAGAACAGGAAGCTCTGTCTCTAGCTCCCCCATTAGTTTGGCCTTTAGTGGGGCTTTCGTTTTTCTGATGATTGATCCTTATGTGGCTTTTGATTGTTTGTTGTTTTGGGGCATTTAACTCAGAAAGAGTTAAAGACATTTAGTAAAATTGTTCTAACAAAGTCCCTTCCCTAACTATTTACTTATTTATATAAACAAGGTTGCTCAGTGCTTATACCTATAAAAATGAAAAATAGATCAGTAACGAACCCTGTCTCTTTCTAGCAATAAGTAATATTCTTTCATGGAT